GCTATACAATGCAGAAAACGCATATTGACGAGGGGTTGTCTGTGTGTTCGTGTGTACCGATTTTTCATCTCAACACCTATAAAAACTACAGGGCTGAAACTTTGGGAACTTAATCTGCATGCAGGTACGGGCCCCAATCCCCAAAATGGGCACCCTTACCCATGTGGTGCCCACGTACGAGCCCGCCAAAGTTTTTTACGGGTAAGCTGCTAAATCGGGAAGCAGAAACGCTGGGAGGATGGAATTTTAAAGGGACGTTCCCTGTCCAAGTAGGTGTTAAACTCAAACCCAGCCCCCGAGTAAGCGTGGTACCCACGTACGGGCCCGCCAAATTTTTTTTCAAGCAAATCACTAACTCGGGAATCTGAGGAGCTAGAAGACTAAAATCTTAAGGGGATGTTCCGTGTCCAAGTGGGCATTAATGAGCTTAAACTGTGCTCGCGGGTAAGCGTGGTACCTACGTGCAGGCTCGTGAAAGTTTCTTTCAGGTAAGTTGCTAACTCGGGAGCGTGAGAAGCTAGAAGACTGGAATTTTGAAGGGATGTTTCCTGACAGTCCTGGCGGGCAGTCTGAAATTCTTTTAGTTAGAAGCATCTGCCGGAACAACCAGTGCCGTTAGCGATAAAAATCTGCGGGGAGCTATGCAAAAAAACGCATCTTCACAGGGGCAGCCTATGCGTTGGCCAATTTTTCCAATTTTATGAAAATGCGGCTTTTACTTAGTGAGCCACTTTATTGTGACCGAAGAATGGCACTGGTCGGAGCAATTAATGCTGAACACGAAGCATGGCGCTGGGCAGAATTTTGCAAAATTGAACGTGACACCTGGGACGTCAGCGAGACAAAAACCCAGGCTGGAACGCACCAGACGGGCCGGTGCGATTATGCGTTTTTGCACTTTTCGTGCCGTAGCAAGATCGCAAGGAATGAAAGTGGCTAACCCTGTAAAATACTGGTCCTCGAAGTTCGGGAAGTTAATTGTGCAACTATGTGGTATGTCAGTTGTAGGTGTCTGTGACCCGACAAATGGGAAGTTGCTGGTCAGCAAAAAAAGGCCACACTAGAAGAGTTAAGTTTAAAACCTTTTAGTCGCACATGAGCACGAAACATTCCCTTAAAATTAAAGCCTTCAGCCTTCCCCGTTCCTGAGTTAGCAGTTTTCCCATCAAAATTTTCACGTATTCGTACATGAGTACTGGACAGTTATAAGGAGCTAAATTTAAAATATTTTGGTCATACATGAGTAGGGAACATTACCGTAAAGTTTCAGCTTTCTAGCTTT